GGAGGGAGGGAGGGAGAGAGAGAGGGAGGGAAGGAGGGAGGGAGGGAGGGAAGGAGGGAGGGAGGGAGGGAGGGAGGGAAGGAGGGAAAATATGTGGAGTGGAAATCCCAGTACTCCTGGGAGGCTGCAACTAGAGCATCACAGGTCACAGGCCAGTGTGGGGAGCTTAGTGAAACTCTGTCTCAAAATACAAAATCAAGAAAAAGGTGGATAGTTTGCCTAGCAGGCCCTAACTTTAATCTCCAGTTCTGAGGAAAACAAAACAAAACAAAATGCCATGAGAAAAGAGGGTAGCAGGCAGAGGATCAGCCTGAAGATCCAACCTAAGACCCCAGGTGGAAGAGAAACAAACCTGGCTGAGATTAGAAAAGGGAATTACCTGGGAAGGGATTCATGTGAGGGAGAACAAGAGGGTAATGGGTGGATCTGATGGTCCAAGTATAGGACTCAAATTGTGAAACGTCCTAACGAAACTGAATGGAACGGGGATACCACAGGTTCAGGGTACAGTTAAGGGGAAAGGTTTTAGGCATTTTTTGTTTGTTTGTTTGTTTTGTTTTTTTTTTTCGAGACAGGATTTCTCTGTGCAGCCTTGGCTATCCCATAACTCACTCTGTACACCAGGCTAGCCTTGAACTCACCACAGAGACCCGCCTGTCTCTGCTTCCTCAGTAGTGGAACTAAAGGCATGCGCCACCAGAGTAGGTTTTTATTGTAGACGTGAGGGAGAGTACAGCCAGAGGCATCTGGAAGAGTCTAGAACATGGAAAGACAATAGTAGATTAAACATGATCAGTAGACTGACCCAGGCCGGGCCGTAAGAGGAGGGGGAGGGGGGAGAGCAAGAGAGGAAGAGGAGAGATAGCAGAGAGGCCAGTGAAGCAGAGACCCAGGAGCCAAAAGGGCAAAGAGCAAGTTCACGCACAGAAACGCTCTCTGAGAGGACCTGCAGGCACTCACTGAGAAGCCAGCATGCCCTTCGGTATGGTAATAAGCACCCGACTTAGCCCTCTGTCCTGAGTTTCTTTTGGATCTGACAGAGTCTCATTCCTTTTATGCGATTGTTTTATGTATTTAAATATTTAAATTCAGTACATTTCATTTTGTAAAAGGGCATTTGTGGAAGTGGAAGTCAGAGGACAACTTCTGAGAGATGGTTCTTCTACCTTATGTGTCTCAAGGATTGAATTATGGTTGACAGCCTTGGCCACCAGTACCTTTACCTGCAAGCTATCACACTGACTTTTTCTTTTTCTTTTTCTTTTTTTTGGTTTTTGGAGAGAGGGTTTCTCTGTGTAGTTCTGGCTGTCCTGGAACTCACTCTGTAGACCAGGCTGGCCTCGAACTCAGAAATCTGCCTGCCTCTACCTCCCAAGTGCTGGGATTAAAGGCGTGCTCGACCACCGCCTGGCAATCACACTGAGTTTTAACTAATAAAAATTTTTTAAATTACTATGGAAGGGTGGGTCTAGACCAGGTTCTGAGCTGAACAGGGAGGGCTGTGGTCTGACTCAGGGGTCTGACTCAGCCTCGTTTTGCTAAGGATATGCCTCTTCTGAGTTCCACACTAGGCAGGGCTAGAGATAGTAAGATCCTGTTAGGAGGGAAAAAAAAAAGACGGGGGGGGGGGGGAAGGGAAGAAAGAAAGCAAAGGAAAAGGAGGGACCAGAGTTTAGGAGGTGGTGGGAGGTGGATTAGTGACCAAAGGTCATCTGCTACATAGTGGCTGACCCGGTCTCAAACAAAACAAAGCCAATAGCTCTAAATGTTTCGGTTGTTAAGGCATTTGCAGCCAAGCTTGTCAACCTGGTCTGGTTGATCCCTGGGACTCCAGGTGGTAGACGCACACGGTCAACTCTGACCTCCACACGTGACATGGGCACCCCTGCCTTACACAGTAAATACATGTAAATTTAAAAGAAATCACACCCAAACAATAACAAACTGGGGCTGGAGGCAGTAGAGGGGGAGGCAGGAAGAAGGCTGTTGGAATGGTGGATGCCGACTGCCTCTTTCTAAGAAGCCCTGTAAGGGAGGATGAAGGTTTCCAGAGCAGCTGGAAGCAGGAAGTCACCTTTCAAGATGGAGATCAGATGGCTGTTAATGAGGCACTATTATTTTTCCACGTGTGTTTCTCTCCTATCTCTCTCTCTCTCTCTCTCTCTCTCTCTCTCTCTCTCTCTCTC